GTTCTGGAGCCGCTGGAGGTACTGGTGCTGGTGGCGCTGGAGCTGGAGGTTCTGGAGCTGCTGAGGGTGCTGGTGCTGGAGGTTCTGGAGCTGCTGGAGGTACTGGCGCTGGTGGCGCTGGAGCTGGAGGTTCTGGAGCTGCTGAGGGTGCTGGCGCTGGAGGTTCTGGAGCTGCTGGAGGTGCTGGAGCTGCTGGGGGTACTGGAGCTGCTGGTGCTGGTGTCACTGCACAGCCGCGCCTGTTCTTCGCTCCACCGTCTCCGTCGTCTCAGCCACCGCCTGACTCTATGCTTCGCCAGGTTCTTAGTCTCCCTTCGTCTACTGGTCTTCCGTTACAGCCTGGCTCACCGCTGCCTGCTCCTTCTCCTTTCACTGAGCAGCTAGGGGGTCTTACTGAGCGTCGTGAGCCTGCGTCGCGTCCTGTCTCGCCTGTCTGTTCTGGTCGTTCCGGTCGTCGTGTTCCTCGTCCGCGTCTGCCGGCTGTCCCCGACACCCACCTCGTAGTCCGTCGTCCTTCCTCTCCTCCGCAGCGTATTCCTCTGCCGTCCCCTCCTGCGTCTTCTCTGCCTGTCGTTGCGGACCCCGAGTCTGACCGGTTTCGTGCTGAGCACCCTACTATCACGCGTCTGCTAGCCACTGTTGTCACTGACCCGTCGTTTGAGTCTGCTGCTACGTCTGCCTTAGTTGCTGAGCTTGTTGACTTTGCTGCTGTCTGTCGTCTAGACTACGCCGCTAGTCTTGTTGCTGAGTCTGAGTCTGTCTGTCTGTCCTCCGTCCGTCGGGGGTGAGTGTGCTCTTGGCACGGACGTCCTTGAGGACAGGCAGGAGGACCTTGAGTGTCTTGCAGCCGCTGCGCGTCATCTCGTGTCCATGCTGCTTGCCCCTGAGGGAGACCCGGATGCTCCAGACATCCCGACCCCGCGCTCTTACGCTGAGGCGATCGCGGGTGAGTACTCCTCTCAGTGGCAGACAGCCATGGACGCAGAGATGGCATCCTGGAAGTCCACAGGCACTTACGTCGACGAGGTTCCCCCACCTGGGGCGAACATCGTCAGTGGCATGTGGATTTTCAGGGTGAAGCGGCCGCCAGGTTCTCCGCCTGCCTTCAAGGCGCGTTACGTTGCACGTTGTTTCAGTCAGCAAGAGGGAGTAGACTTCTTCCAGACCTTCTCCCCCACCCCGAAGATTACCACTCTTCGGGTGCTGCTGCACGTTGCCGCTCAGCGTGATACGAGCTTCACTCTCTTGACTTCAGCACAGCCTTCTTATAGGGCAGCCTGCACGAGGAGATCTGGCTGCGCCGCCCACCTGGCTTCACTGGGTCGTTCCCTCCTGGTACCCAGTGGAGCCTCAGGCGGCCGGTCTACGGTCTCCGCCAGGCGCCACGTGAGTGGCACGACACACTGAGGACGACACTTGCGGCTCTTGGGTTTGCTCCGTCGACTGCTGACCCGTCGCTGTTTCTGCGCACCGACACTTCGCTGCCGCCGTTCTACATCCTCGTGTACGTCGACGACTTGGTCTTTGCCACTGCTGACACTGAGGCTCTCGCCCTGGTGAAGTCAGAGCTGCAGAAGAGACACACGTGCATAGACCTGGGTGAGCTGACAAGCTATCTTGGCTTGCGGATCACCCGGGACAGAGCACGCCGCACCATCACACTGACTCAGTCACACATGGTGCAGCAGGTCCTTCAGCGCTTCGGCTTCACCTGGTCCTCGGCACAGGCCACTCCTCTGGCTACAGGTCACTCGCTCTCAGCTCCACCTTCGGACGAGTCCGTAGAGCCGAGTGGTCCTTACCCAGAGCTAGTGGGCCGCCTCATGTACCTGATGACCTGCACTCGTCCTGACCTTGCGTACCCTCTTGGCCTTCTGGCTCGCTACGTGGCTCCTGGTCGGCACCGAAAGGTGCACATGGATGCTGCTAAGAGGGTACTACGCTACTTGTGCAGTACATCGGGCATGGGGCTCGTGCTTGGAGGACGGAGCGACGTTGTCCTCACTGGGCACTCAGACGCTTCTTGGGTTGACGACCAGGCTACGCAGCGGTCTTCACAGGGTTACACCTTCAGCCTTGGCTCTGGTTCGGTTTCTTGGCGTTCTACATGCTCGTCTTCAGTTCTCAGCTCCAGTTGTGAGGCTGAGATCTACGCCACAGCCATGGCTGCACAGGAGTTACGCTGGCTCACCTACCTGCTGACAGACTTGGGAGAGCGGCCTCGTTCTCCTCCAGTGCTGTACGTCGACAACAAGGCCGCCATTGCCTTGTGTCAGGAGCACAGACTGGAGCACAGAACGAAGCACATTGCTCTGCGTTACTTCCTGGCTCGAGAGTTGCAGCAGCGTGGTCAGCTTCGTCTTGCTCACGTGGCCACTCGGGCCAACACTGCTGATATATTCACCAAGGCGCTTCCGTCTGGTGATCATCAGCGTTTCTGCACTCTGTTAGGCCTTGTGCCCACGTTTCCTCACTTGCTGTAGACTTTGCTTGTACTGTGATCTATATATATCTGCATGCTTGCTCTGCTAGGTAGAGATCACTGTGCTGTTGTTGTTGCATATATACCCCTGCATGTGAACTGGCCTTGTGGCCCTTTGCTTGTGCTCAGTGTGTGTGGTGACGTTGTGATCCACCCTGAGCTTGCTTTGCTTCTCTTGACTGGTCTTGTGACCCCTTGCTCTCCCCCACTTTGCCTATGGGGGTGTGTCAAAGCATATGCATGTTCTATATGTTTAGGCTGTAGTGGGGTAGCCAATATGGGGTACAGCCCCTTTTAGGGTTTCATACTTGTACCCAACTCTTTCATAGGTCATTCATTCCTGCTGCTAGATTCTGACATGTATGCTGCAGGAGACGACTCTACCGAGTATGAAGTCGAGGAGTCAGAAGAGTCGAAGCGACGCAGCAACCGTCTGACCAAGACCGATGCAGGCAGAAACATTTGAAGTGAAAAGAGCGGGAACAGGTTTGAAACGGGTTCCCGCGCCACACGGTTTGAATTTGGTTAGAATAAGGGAATGTACCCCTTAGAGTACATGGCTAGTCTAGCTCTTTTCGTATTCCCCTGTACCCTTATATAAACCCGATGTATGCATGCTTTTATCAACTCAGTCGTTTACATTCACTCTGACCTGAGATTCAAACTTCCGCTGCAACACTACTCTGCGATCAACCCTGAGCGATCCTTCGCTAAATCCCACTTGGGATTGTAACACAACTGTTTCACTCTCTTCCTTTAAACAATGTGGGTTTCGAATTTTATAATATAATATGAAGCCATCATTATCTGTTTACATTGCGTTCCAACGTAGATTGTTCTAATATATTTTCAAGTATTTCTGCTTCATGGAGATCATACATATGTTCTGAGTTTCAGTCCATAATATTTTCATTCTTATAGCAACGAGCGCTGTTGTAGCGAGTTGGGGCGAACTGGGAGGGTGGTGGTGATGTGGATTGAGGGAATGACAAAACGTTTTTTAGGGGTTGAAGGGTTTCTTCCAGCTTTGAAATGGACTGTCCAACTCCAATAATTGTTCTTCTCCAACTCTGACGGACAGACGATTTTTGGAAGAGGACTTCAGTTCCGGAGGCATTTCCCTGAAACTGACCTCGGAGATGCGGCACACAATGAAGGCTGCTTTGATTTGTTTGTGTACATTGTTATCCGGGCAGCCAGATTCTGGTGTTTGACCAATGACCATCCCTGATCGCGTTTGGGCCATCGCGTTGGCGCCAGAAGAAAAGCCAAACCGATTTCGAACATCCGCGTTCACTTCAGGGTCAGCGCCTTCCGAGCCGCATGCTATCTGAGAGGGTCTGTTTGTGTTCCTGGGGGCAGATGACGGTCCGTCTATTTGCTCCGCTCTTCGCGGGCCGCCTCAGGAGAATTCTTGGCCCCGCCAGAATCGGAAATCATTTCCATGCCCGACCCTGGATCAGCTCACTTCTTTGCTTCCCGTCCTTCCACCCCCCACAACATACAGTTTACACTTCGACTTTCGCATTCACACTTGGTTTTCGCATCCACACCGTGCGATCGCTTCCCGAATACAAAACTCAGCAGTGAAAGGGTTGTGCGGCCAGTTGTCAGATCTGTGACATTCTGGACCGTTGGATACGTGGCCCCGAACCAACCGGCAGCAGCAGTGTGGTGGAGCTGCGGTTTCCTATTCCTAGCCATCACGGATGCAATCGTCTCCACAACCAGCAGTGCCCAAAGCGGGCACCAGGAAGTTCAGCGGCGCAGTTCCTCCGCAGGCATTCAGTGAGCAGACAGAACGGCGCAGAAGAACTCCAGTGAAATTACAGTACATGTCTTCCACTAGGAATGCATTCAGGAGTCAATTTCCTCGGTGTGTCCGCCTTCCCTACTCCGACCAAGCCACGCAGCACATCAAGGACCTGTTTTTTCGCGAATAATCGCTTGCCTGTTGCCGACTGCTAGCTATTTCACGTACAGCTTAGGTTCGACTAAACCACCGCAATTACTTCTCAGCAAATTTCCGTAGGTCCGGACCACTAACTCGCACATTCAAGATGCAGCCGTTTGGGATTGACATGGGGCCGGATTCTTCCTCTGGAATAGAGGCCCCGAAATCAGATGGACTATCGCCAGAGAGGGATGTCGCTCCAATCTTGAAAACCGAGCCTCACTTCCAGCGGTCTAGAAGCATGGCAGCAGGGCACCATGGATTCAAAGGCGCGACGGTCATGAGCGGCGTGTTCAACCTGTCAACGTCAATAATTGGAGCGGGAATTATGGGATTACCAGCTACAATGAAAGTACTGGGCCTACCGCTCGGAGTTCTAATCTTAATAGCCATGGGAATCTTAACCGAGATCTCTGTCGAAATTTTGATCCGAACGACGACGGTTCAGCACGTCTGGTCTTACAGTGATTTAGTGCATCAGACTCATGGCAACAATTGGCGACTCGTGCTCGACATATCCATTGTCATCGTTAACTTTGGCGTTTGCATCGTCTACCTTATCATATGCGGTAAGGACTTTCTAGGGGGGCGCATGCGGTTCGCGTAGTACGGAACTTCCGTTCTTTCGTTTCGATCTCCCAATCTCCCTCACCAAATCTTTGAACACTTCTCGTCGTCGTGCCTGCTACACCTAATTCAAAATCGCTTGTTCCCCCCGCCTTGCTCACTCTCTGTCGCTCCGCCCAAACCACATCGTTCTCTGCATGCGTTCTCCCTGGTGCTCTTTCTTTTCGTGTAACAGCCGATGTGCTGTCTGGCACGACGCCAGGGGGCGAGTATCACGAGGGAATGTTCATGACGTGGAATGGCGGTAAATCTGCGTGGTGGACTGGAAGACACTTCGTTCTCTTGATAATCATCATTGTCTTCTTGCTCCCGCTTCTCTCTTTCAGACACGTTGGTAAGACCTCGGCGCTCTGCGTTCATTTTCTGTTCAGCTTTGATTACCTTCGTGTGCCTAATTTCGTTAATGAAAAAAACTCGCACATCCAGATTTTTAGTATAACTATTCTTACCCTGGATCTTCGTGCTCATGTAGTATCCTCCAACTACTTTCCATATCTACTTCGCCCCAACGACTTGTGTTCGCCTCAGACACTTTGCAGTACACATCATTTCTCGCCGTGCTCCTAGCGGTCGTATTCGTCATGATCACAGTCGTTATAGCGGCAATCAACATCAACAATGGCACGCTACCTGTGCCCAGCTTTTCACCAGACTTCAGCTCAGCCAACGCAATCATGGCCATGTTTAGCGTCATCCCGGTATGTGTGAGAGGGAACTTGAGAGCGAAAATAAAGGGTTATTAGGGAAAGGAACGAGCGAATTGGGTGGGTGCTGTGCTTGGAGAAGGAATGTAGAGCAGAAAAGATCACAGGAGGGTGTCCACCGTCAACCAAGTAACATTTTCCGTACTTTCAACCTTCCTCCTTGTTTCTACTTGTCTACTCTGTGAAGTATGACAGAATCTCTGTATTATGTATTTCTTTTGTTTGCAGATCATGGCTACAGCCTATGTTTGTCACTTCAATGGTATGCCTGTTTATCTTACACCTGCACGACCTTCTCATTTACCGCTTTGCCATCATGCTTTCGCACCTTGATTTCTGTCCTCCCAAGTCATTTGCTCACCCTTGGCACTCGCGCAATTCTGTAAATCCTGTTCCTCCCTAATTTTGAACAGTTCATCCTATCTATGTGGAGCTGCAAGAACGCAACGAGAAGACAATGCTCAAAATTACGCGTTACTCCATGACCCTCTGTACCATAGTGTACCTCCTCACATCCATCTCGGGGTACCTCCTCTTTGGTGCCAGCACCGCCAATGACGTGCTTGTCAATTTCGACAGAAACCTTGGGATCGAGAACAGCGACGCTGTGAACGACATTGTGCGGATCACCTACATTTTTCACCTGATCTTTGTCTTCCCTGTCATCTTCTACTCGCTGAGGAACATTGTGGATGACCTCTTCTTCCCCAATGCTATCACGCCTCTGGTGGACGATACCAAGAGATTTTGGCTGTCTACAGCGGCAGAGCTGGTGCTGATTTACATTGGTGCCACCGTCATACCCAACATGACACTGGCGTTCAACATCACAGGCGCGACGACCACCATGATTGTTGGCATGCTCATCCCAGCTATGCTCGCTCTCAGGTCAGGACCAATTTTACCATTTTTTGCTGTTCATGTCAATTGCATGGGCTTGCGTATCCCTTGGCACTGCCTTCTTCTGAGACCGTGTGGTGGTTGTTTGTGGTTCTCCTTTGCAGTGACAAGTCTGGTGTCATCGTTGACTGGGAGCGCAAGCTTGCTTATTTCATGATTGCCTTCTCCATCCTCGTCAGCATCACGGGACTCGCTAGCAGCATCTACTATATTGTTGTCCACTACTGAAAAAACTACTGTCTGCTTCCTGCACATAGGTACTGGTTTACTGACTCCAATAGGAAGGTTCATGTTGTGCTCATCCTTTTATTTTGATGTGTACAAAACTTGGGGAGAGAACACAATAGCAATGGTATTAACTTTTCAGTGCAAGCCCAAATATTCCCGGTGGGGCAACTGTAGAAGGATTGTTACATAGATAAGGATACGCTGTACCCAGCTTCAAGAAGTTATCTCAGTAGCACATTCCCTTCAGTCATGCTGGGAGCTCCCGTTAGCCCAGTATCAAAACAGTAAATCTCCGTCGTCGATTGGTATCGCCAACCGTCGATTGCCTCTTACGAGCATCATATACAGTGAATACGTTCTGGCAGGACCAGTTTAGATCGAGCAAGTTTCCTGCTTCCATCATACCAAATTACGAACACGAACAAGCTTCATGCTTGGCCCGTTTGGCCCGTTTCACCAGTTCCCTAGGATTCCGAGCTTCTTATCTTGCTGAGGCTGTGCCCGTCTCGTGTGTGGCGCGACCCCCTTCGTACCGTATGCGTAGGTCCTTATTGCGAGCTGCTAATTAACTCCGCCCGAAATCTCCACAGTTAGGTCTCGGAAGTGCAACGCGTACTTAGCTCTCGCTTCACACCTCTTAGCTCGGATTCTCTCCATCCCTCGTAGCTCGACGAAAAGCAGATTGCGTAACCCGCCCCGCTGTCACATGTCGCGTGGCTAATCCAGACCAGAGCCATCCGTTAGACCTACCGGGATCGGCCGGTTCGTATCACGCGTCGCTTCTCCATGGCCGCGGCGCGTCAGCCAATGAGTGGACTTGTGCACCACAGCCACCTCAACCGCGCGTCGTCTCGGCGAACCGCGGTATCGTGTCCTAATGTTCTCTCACCGCTCCGCCTGCTCGTCGCGTTCGCGTTGCTATTCGCCAGCTTCCGTCACGCGGTAGCAGAAATTCGCGAGATCGAAGTGACTCTGAGCAACGCGCCGTGGGTTCTCCTCGGCCGATTCGGCTTTAACGGCCATGGAATCGTCGATCTCTCCGTCTCGCATCTCCGCGTGTACTCTCCTGAAAAATCAACGGCCCCTGATACGTATTCCATGGGATTCCTTCTCGCCAGCGAATCAGCTGCTTGGGAGGTGGAGACGGGGATCGTTCCCGGAGTAAATTCAGGAAACGGTACAGTGGGTGGCTTTTGTCCGTTAACGAGTCTCAACGTAACGAAGATCTTCAGCGTGATGGAAATGGACGCTCCTAAAAAAGGCTCCGAGCGGCCGACTAAGACGGTCCTGGTCCCCGTGCCTGGCGCCGGGTTTTACGGAGTCTACATGGTGAACTGCGCGCCGACGCGTCTCCTCTCCGCGCACGTGTCGCTCTCCTTATACAACACCAATCCCGGCGCCCCCGCCAACGCGCCGCCGGTCAAGTACTACCTCTCCGCAGGCACCATCGCGCTCGCGTTCGTGCACGCGATCTGCGGGCTGACGTGTCTCGCCGTGCTGTGCGCGTGGCTGGCACACGTCCTCAAAATCTGGTTCCACACCGTCGTGCCGCTCACCTTCCACCTCTTCCTCACAGCGCTTCTCCCGGCGCTCGGCGCGCTCTTCTTCGCCCTGGCGGCGCGCCTCTTCGTGCAGCAGTCCGCGGGAAGCAGCCCTGGGATCGACTTTGCAGCAGATGTTCTCTTCGTCGTGTGCATGGCGCTGCTCCTAGCGGCGTTTTTCACCGGGATTGGCAGCATAGACCCCTACATGTCCGATCTGGAGCGCGTCGTGCTCTTCTTCGCGGTGCCTGCGGCGGTAGTTTCGCTGCTCGGACTCTCCCTCGTGTCCCCGGACAGCCTCAGCTTCGTTGTAAGCACCTCCGTTACAAGCAGCGCCAGCAGCAGCGCGGCAGTGACCGGAGGCAGCATGTTGACGTCATCACTGCTTCCGGACACCCTCCCATCGTTCACCGTCGTTATCTCCGTCATTCGCCCGCTCCTCTTCTTCCTCCTCGCAGCAGCAGTCGCAGTAATCACTCTCCTCCTCTTCCTCGCCCTCCTCCTCTCCTGCCTCCAATGCCTCGCCTCCCGCCGTCCCGGCGCCAACAGCAGCGGCGGGAACAGCGGCATGAAACGCGTGGGTGGTGGTGGCAGCAGCTATGCTCTAGACGACAGGGACACAGACGGTCCCTTGGAGAAATTCTACGTGCAGGCGTGCGCGCTGCTGCTGCTCGCAGGAGCCGTGTCCGTGCTGCTGCGCTGGTGCCTGCCGTACGACCTGGTTACCTGGTTACCACAGGCTCTGTGGCAGGCGGCGCTGGTGCTGCTGCTGGTGTGGGTGCTGCACAGGTTCCGGCCGAGGGCAGAGCGATCGGTGTACCAGCTGTTTGACGAGAACGATGTTATGGACGAGGAACTCAGTGAGCTGTAGGGGTTTGCAGGGAGGAGTAGGAGTGCAGGCTGTGGCAGGGCGAGTTTGTTTGTAGCAGAGCAGCGGAGCAATTGGTGTACCAGCTGTTTGACGAGAACCATGTTATGGACGAGGAACTCAGTGAGCTGTAGCAGGAGGGGGGGAGGGGGTTGCAGGCTGTAACAGGGAGAGGTTGTGACAGAGGAGGGTGGAGGCTGTAGCAGAGGAGGGGTGGAGGCTGTAGCAGAGGAGGGGTGGAGGCTGTAGCAGAGTCGTACGTGCTGTACGTGCCGTATGGGCTGTACGCGCTGGTACTGCCATGTGACAGGATGAGCGGAAGGGGTGGATGGAGAAGAGTAGGGACAGGCGAGGCGAGGAGATATATTGGATAGTCCTGTTACAAGCAGCAGTGGTCAGAGCATTGGATGTTCACAACACAAGGCATTGTCGAGCGATATCAGGTTGTTGATTGACACTATTATACCTGGGGTTCGTGCTGATGTGATGTCATTTTTATTCGACAACACTGCATTACGGTGCAGTGGGCTTTTGCTCCTTGTGCTTCCATTGTTGTTGTTGCTGCTTATGGCATATGTGCAATCTTGAGTAATAATGTGTTGATTGTGTTTGAGGATCCACCTACTCTGAGTCAGCTGAATGGGTATTTGTTGTGTAGTTTTGTACACAGTACATGCCAATTGCTAGTAAATGTGTGATGTGATGAAATGCAGTGAATTCCCGTAATATTTCAAGTGCAGGTGTATTTGACACGTTTTAGTAAATATAACTGAGCATATACCGTACATCAGGTAGGATCTGGAGCTGATATCGAAGCATGCTGAAGATGTTCACTGAGGCCGCAGGTGCTTCTGTTGCATTCTCCACGAACCATTTTGTCCGTTGGATCAAGAAGATTTGCAGCACGATGTCGTCGAGATCCGATCGGAATTGCGGAGCGTGTCCGCGATTCCCCCCCAATTTCCGCCGCACGCAGCCTAGCCGTTGGACCAGCAGCCCGCTTTCTGAGCATCCGCTCCGCAAATCCCCAGATCTCCGCACGCCGAGTGGTGTGTCAGGCTCTTTGGGGAAGCGCATCCACTAGCCCGCGGATGTCCCAGACCGAACCGTTGGGCCAACCGACATTCACGACTCTCGCGAATGTCCGTCGTACCCGAAAGCGAATATGTCACGTCTTCGCCAGTGCTAGTTTGTTTCGTGAAACGAACTTCGTGCAGTATTTCCGCAATTTGTAACCCCGCGTCTTTCCACGCTTGCGGCCAACATTGGCGCGAATCTTGTCGGCGGTGCTTCCTCCACAGCCGCTTTGCCCACCTCGGGATTGGTTGTGGAACTCCAGGCTTTGCTGAACCTTTCATGTGAGTCTGTGACGCCCTGCGGAAACTGGGAAAAACCAGACGCACAACATGACCAACCATGCCACAACCATCTCAACCGAGGTCAACATCCATTTTTCTGTCAACCTGAGAATCACAATGCCGTGACCAGCTTTCCAATGTTCCACTCAACCCCATTCTTCCTCATCATCACAAACTCGTTTCTCTTCCCCATCCTCATTCTGATCTCATTCTCGCCTCCGCGACCTACGTATTCCTCCATCCGCGTATGGCGTGAAGCACTTTTTTTGCGTTTCGTTGGTGCTCTCTGTCGATCGCCTAGCAAACCGTACGTTCCGACGTCGTTTCGTTTTCAACAATTCTCGCCGTCAGCTGCGTTCTCCGTCGGTAGCAGAAAATTCGTAATCAGCAGCGTTTTCTGCGGTCAGGAGTAACCATTTGGTCGCTATCAGCGATTTACGACGGCGAATGATTACCGACGGCAACAACGATGCTCGCAGCTAGCGGGGAATCGCGGTTAGCAGGGGGGCTCACCATCAGCAGCGATTTCCGCCGTCAGCTGCAATTTCCGCCGTTGCCATTGACTTCTGCCGTCAGTGGTAACGATTTCGCCGCCAGCATCGATTCCGGCCGTCAGCATCGATTCCGGCCGTCAGTATTTCCGCCGACGGGTCAGCTTCCGCCTCGCGTCGACATCCTTGGCCGTCCATCAACCTCGCCGGTACGTTTCGCCGTGCAACTTCCTTCAGCATGATCAAATCCGCGTTTCGCCGTGAGGCTTCCGCATAATCGTTTCGCGTTATTCTTTGAGCTGCCGTTTCAACTTCTCTCGTTTGACGTTTGTTTCCCTTGCAGGCAACGTCAGGTGCCGTGCTGCTGTGGTTGAGCGCAGCACAAGGCAACCTAATCTGTGGCCGTGCCTGCTGCAATTCGGTCAATTCGCGACTCTCCTCCACTCGCCGCTCGTGTTGGTCCAACCCAACAGACCGACGTCAGCGACGCTGCCAGCTGTCGTCAGCATGCGAGTGGAATGGCGTGGGACATGGAGTGCAAAGGCAGCAGCTGCTCTCCACCCAACCCACCCACAGCTAAGTACCCCGCCCCTCCTCTTTTCTCCCAACCCTCGCATTGTGTTGCTTTTCATATCTTGCTTGCACATTGCACCATACTCCCTTTTCACTGCCCTTTGTCACACCCATGAGACCTCCCTCCCCCAAGGTAGCAGGTATCTTTTTTCTTGGTACAGCCTCAGGTATTTGTTTTAGTTTGGTTCAGCTGGTACGAGGTCTCTTGGGTGTGCCACTGCACCAGTCCATTCATGCACGCATCATTCTTGCACTTGCTGCACTCTTCGCTCTCAATTCACTCCTCTCGTCTTCGCTTCTCTCCTCATTGCTCCCCCTTCACTTCCCCATTTTCTCCCTCCCCCTCCTCCCTTCCTCTCTCTGTCCCGACCTGCCCCCTCTCGTCCCAGCAGGTCGCTCACACGGGAGTTGCAGTGGCGGGGGACACGGAGTGAACAGGCAGCAGCTGCTCTCCACCCAACCCACCTACAGCTAAGTACCCCGCCCTTCCTGTCTTCTCCCAACCCTCGCACTCTGTTGCTTTGCTTGTCATGCTTGCACCATGCATTGCACCCACTTTTTCACTGCTCTTTGTCACACCCATTAGACCTCCCTCCCCCAAGGTAGTAGGTATCTTTTTTCTTGGTACAGCCTCAGGTATTTGTTTTAGTTTGGTTCAGCTGGTATGAGGTCTCTTGGGTGTGCCACTGCAGCAGTCCATTCATGCACACATCATGCTTGCGTGTGCTGCACTCCTCACTTTCACTTGTCTTGGATTTTTCCTCACTGCTCTCCCCACTCCTCTCCCCCCCCTTCAGTTCCCCGTTTTCTTTTCCCCTCCCTTCCTCTCTCTGTCCCAACCCGCCCCCTCCCGTCCCAGCAGGTCGCTCACACGGGAGTGGCAGTGGTGGGAGGGGAGGGGGGCAGCACTCCACTCGGCTGGGATGGGATGGGAGAGTATCGGGATTGGGTCGTCTGAAACAAGGTGAGCCTCTTTTCCCTCGTGCACTCATCCTGCTGCTTGTTCTTCTCCCCATGCTGACTTCCCGTTTCTGCTCCCTTGCTTCCTTGTAGCTTGTGCCTACTCTTCTCCTCATTCTCACTGCTGTCCCTTGATCCCCTGCCTACCCCTGCCTTGCTCCCTCCCTCCCAGTACATTGAAGGATGTAGCAGGGCAGCACGGGGCAGCAGCAGGGCAGCAGCGGAGGGGAGGGGAGGGGCAGCGGCTGCAGCAGGGGAAGCAGAGTAGCAGACCGGGAGTGGCAGTGGCGGCTGACATGGAGTGCACAGGCAGCAGCTGCTCTCCACCCAACCCACCCACAGCTAAGTACCCCGCCCTTCCTGTCTTCTCCCAACCCTCGCACTCTGTTGCTTTGCTTGTCATTCTTGCACCATGCATTGCACCCCCTTTTTCACTGCTCTTTGTCACACCCATTAGACCTCCCTCCCCCAAGGTAGTAGGTAATTTTTTCTTGGTACAGCCTCAGGTATTTGTTTTAGTTTGGTTCAGCTGGTACGAGGTCTCTTGGGTGTGCCACTGCAGCAGTCCATTCATGCACACATCATGCTTGCGCTTGCTGCACTCTTCTCTTTCACTTGTCTTGGCTTCTTTCCTCACTGCTCTCCCCACTCCTCTTCCCCCCCTTCACTTCCTCGTTTTCTTTCCCCCCTCCTCCCTTCCTCTCTCTGTCCCAACCCGCCCCCTCCCGTCCCAGCAGGTCGCTCACACGGGAGTGGCAGTGGTGGGAGGGGAGGGGGGCAGCACTCCACTCGGCTGGGATGGGATGGGAGAGTATCGGGATTGGGTCGTCTGGAACAAGGTGAGCCTCTTTTCCCTCGTGCACTCATGCTGCTGCTTGTTCTTCTCCCCATTCTCACTTCCCGTTTCTACTCCCTTGCTTCCTTGTAGCTTGTGCCTACTCTTCTCCCCATTCTCACTGCTGTCCCTTGATCCCCTGCCTACCCCTGCCTTGCTCCCTCCCTCCCAGTACATTGAAGGCTGTAGCAGGGCAGCACGGGGGCAGCAGCAGGGCAGCAGCGGAGGGGAGGGGAGGGGCAGCGGCAGCAGCAGGGGAAGCAGAGTAGCAGACCGGGACTGGCAGTGGCGGCTGACATGGAGTGCACAGGCAGCAGCTGCTCTCCACCCAACCCACCTACAGCTAAGTACCCCGCCCTTCCTGTCTTCTCCCAACCCTCGCACTCTGTTGCTTTGCTTGTCATGCTTGCACCATGCATTGCACCCACTTTTTCACTGCTCTTTGTCACACCCATTAGACCTCCCTCCCCCAAGGTAGTAGGTATTTTTTTCTTGGTACAGCCTCAGGTTTTTGTTTTAGTTTGGTTCAGCTGGTACGAGGTCTCTTGGGTGTGCCACTGCAGCAGTCCATTCATGCACACATCATGCTTGCGTTTGCTGCACTCGTCACTTTCACTTGTCTTGGCTTCTTTCCTCACTGCTCTCCCCACTCCTCTGCCTCCCCTTCACTTCCCCGTTTTCTTTCCCCCCTCCTCCCCCCTCTCTCTGTCCCAACCCGCCCCCTCCCGTCCCAGCAGGTCGCTCACACGGGAGTGGCAGTGGTGGGAGGGGAGGGGGGCAGCACTCCACTCGGCTGGGATGGGACGGGAGAGTATCGGGATTGGGTCGTCTGAAACAAGGTGAGCCTCTTTTCCCTCGTGCACTCATGCTGCTGCTTGTTCTTCTCCCCATTCTGACTTCCCGTTTCTGCTCCCTTGCTTCCTTGTAGCTTGTGCTTACTCTTCTCCCCATTCTCACTGCTGTCCCTTGATCCCGTGCCTACCCCTGCCTTGCTCCCTCCCTCCCAGTACATTGAAGGCTGTAGCAGGGCAGCACGGGGGCAGCAGCAGGGCAGCAGCGGAGGGGAGGGGAGGGGCAGCGGCAGCAGCAGGGGAAGCAGAGTAGCAGACCGGGAGTGGCAGTGGCGGCTGACATGGAGTGCACAGGCAGCAGCTGCTCTCCACCCAACCCACCTACAGCTAAGTACCCCGCCCTTCCTGTCGTCTCCCAACCCTCGCACTCTGTTGCTTTGCTTGTCATGCTTGCACCATGCATTACACTCCCTTTTTCACTGCTCTTTGTCACACCCATTAGACCTCCCTCCCCCAAGGTAGTAGGTATCTTTTTTCTTGGTACAGCCTCAGGTATTTGTTTTAGTTTGGTTCAGCTGGTACGAGGTCTCTTGGGTGTGCCACTGCAGCAGTCCATTTATGCACGCATCATGCTTGCACTTGCTGCACTCTTCACTTTCACTTGTCTTGGCTTCTTTCCTCACTGCTCTCCGCACTCCTCTGCGCCCCCTTCACTTCCCCGTTTTCTTCCCCCCCTCCTCCCTTTCTCTCTCTGTCCCAATCTGCCCTCCTTGCAGGTCGCTCACACGGGAGTGGCAGTGGCGGGGACATGGAGTGCACAGGCAGCAGCTGCTCTTCACCCAACCTTCACACAGCTAAGTCCCTGCCCTGCTGTTCTTATCCCAATTTCCCCTCTTGACTTCGTTTGCTTTCCATGTCTATCCTTGCTGCGCCTCCTGTATCTCGTCTCTTCATGCGCATGCCTCGGATTGAGCCAAGGCTTCAAGCCACAGTCCCTTTTTCTTGGGTACCCCCCCCCCCCTGGTATAGCTGTAAACCCCCCTTTGGTATAACCCCCCCTTGGTATGTGGCTTGTAGCTGAGGCTGAACCAATGGGCCCCTCCCCTCTCGTTGTTCCGATTGCTTCGTGTGCATCCGCCCTCCCACTTCACCCCCTCGCCTCTCCACCAGTCACTCACTCTTTCTCCGTGGGCCATTGCAGGTGGAGGGGAGGGGCGCAGTGGTCAACACCGCCACTTCCCCGCACCCCTCCCCTTGTGGCCGTGCAGGTGGCAGTGGTGGGAGTGGAGAGGGGCAGCACTCCACTCGGCTGGGAGGGGATGGATGGGAGAGTAATGGGATGGGTCGCCTCAACTAGGTGAGCGACTTTCCCCTCCCTACCCAAGTTGGTTTCGTCTCTGCTGTTACCTTCACTCATGATGCTGCTTGGTCTTCTCTCCATACTCACTTCCCTTGCCTTCTCCCTCCTTGCCTTCTGCTGCACTTCTCCCCTTTCTCACTGCTGTCCCTTGCTCCCTGCCTCCCTCCCACCTCCTCCTTCTCAGCGTTCTGCCAGCGCCGAGTGCATTGGTGGCTGTAGCAGAGGGGGAAGGGGGCAGCAGGAGGGCAGCAGGAGGGAAGCAGGAGGGAGGGTATGGGGCTGGACAAGAAATGCACAGGCAGCAGCTGCTCCCCACCCAACCTACCCACAGCTAAGTCCCTGCTACTGATCTTCCCATCATATGCACGCTTTTGTTGTCATGTCGATCGTTGCTGCATCTCCAATTTCTTCTCTCTTCAAACACAAGCCTCTAGCCTAGCCAAAGCTTCAAGCCACAGTCCCTTTTTCTTTGGTAAATCCCCCTGATACAGCCGGTATACTCTCAGGTCAAACCCCCCTTTGGTATAAACCCCCCTTTGGTATGTGGCTTGTAGCTGAGGCTGCACCTGTGGCCCCCTCCCCTCTGCTTTTTCTGATCGCTTCTTGTGCATGCATCCCTCTCCTTCACCCCTTCGCCTCTCCACCAGTCACTCATTATTTCTCCGTGGGCCATTGCAGGTGGAGGGGAGGAGCGTGGGTGTCAACAGCGCCACTCCTACACGCCCCTCCCCTGGTGGCCCTGCAGGTACCCACGGGGATGGGGAGGAAGCAGCACTGCAGCGGACTGAAATGGTGCTGCTAGGGAGAGTATCGGGATGGGTTTGGCCCCTCAAGGTACGTTACCTCACGCCTTAGCTCACCTCTCCCCTTCTCAAGTTCACTTGCTGCAGCAGCTCTCCCTTTTCTGCATTCTCGTTTTTCTCCACACTTGTGCTCTTCTGTTTCTGTTCACGCCAACTCACCAGTTCCTCCTGCCCCTCCCCTCGTGTCCCTCACCTCCCATTTCTGCCCACCACCAGGTCACTTGGCATCAAGAGAAGACTACAGCAGCAGAAGCAGCGAAGCAGAGTAGCAGATCGGCAACAGCAGTTGCAGCAGCAGAAGCGGCCAAGGCAGCAGCAGTAGCAGCAGTGGGGGCTGGGGGGCTAGAGGGCAGTCTAGGCTAGGTGTAGTGTAGCTGTGGGGAGGTGTGGTATCAGGTGTGGTATGGTAACAGGTAAGGTATGGTCATCTGATCCCCTCCTCTCTTTCTCTCCCGTGCAGGCTGAGGACGGGAGAGTGGAGTCCATCCTCTCACTCACCTCCTCCTCTTTGCCTTTTCCCCACCCCTCCCAGCAGCACCCTGCCTGGACCACAGTGGGAGTCCCACCCTCCCCTAATCCCCCCTCCCCACTTCCCAGCAGCCTCAGCATCATGACGCATGGCTCTGGTAGGTACAGGTAAGGAGGCATGGGGGTGAAGTGTGGGGTGGGTGGGTGGGAAGCATGGGAGCAAGCGGGGAGTTCACTTCCTGAGGGGCAGCATTCTCAGGGGATGTGCCTTGTGGGGTGGGGTGTGGAGGGTGGAATCTCCGCGGCACGGCACTCGGTGCTCAGGTTCCCAATCTGGCGTTTAAGGCTTAATGGACACCGTCAGAGCCGACCGGCCGGCGGCTCTGGTTCGCGTCAGCTCTAGCTACGTCAGGGGTGGGATTTGAGTCTTGGGCTGGAAGCGATTTTTCACTGCCACACCTCGCCTGACAAATCACAACTTCTGTGGATAGTGTTTCCGAAAGGGAGTGGGCTGTCTGCTGCTCATACTGCTGGCAGGTGAACTTGGGGTGCTTGCTTCCCTCTGTATCCTCCCTCTGTTCCTTCCCTCAGTTCCTTCCCTCAGTTCCTTCCCTCAGTTCCTTCCCTCAGTTCCTTCCCTCAGTTCCTTCCCTCAGTTCCCTCCCTCAGTTCCTTCCCTCAGTTCCTTCCCTCAGTTCCTTCCCTCAGTTCCTTCCCTCAGTTCCCTCCCTCAGTTCCCTCCCTCAGTTCATTCCCTCAGTTCCTTCCCTCAGTTCCTTCCCTCAGTTCCTTCCCTCAGTTCCTTCCCTCAGTTCCCTCCCTCAGTTCCCTCCCTCAGTTCCTTCCCTCAGTTCCTTCCCTCAGTTCCTTCCCTCAGTTCCTTCCCTCAGTTCCTTCCCTCAGTTCCTTCCCTCGGTTCCTTCCCTCCGTTCCTTCCCTCAGTTCCCTCCCTCAGTTCCCTCCCTCAGTTCCTTCCCTCAGTTCCTTCCCTCAGTTCCTTCCCTCAGTTCCTTCCCTCAGTTCCTTCCCTCAGTTCCTTCCCACAGTTCCTTCCCTCAGTTCCTTCCCTCAGTTCCCTCCCTCAGTTCCTTCCCTCAGTTCTTTCCCTCAGTTCCTTCCCTCAGTTCCTTCCCTCAGTTCCTTCCCTCAGTTCCTTCCCTCAGTTTCCTCCCTCAGTTCCCTCCCTCAGTTCCTTCCCTCAGTTCCTTCCCTCAGTTCCCTCCCTCAGTTCCCTCCCTCAGTTCCTTCCCTCAGTTCCTTCCTTCAGTTCCTTCCCTCAGTTCCTTCCCTCAGTTCCCTCCCTCAGTTCCCTCCCTCAGTTCCCTCCCTCAGTTCCCTCCCTCAGTTCCTTCCCTCAGTTCCTTCCCTCAGTTCCTTCCCTCAGTTCCCTCCCTCAGTTCCCTCCCTCAGTTCCTTCCCTCAGCTCCTTCCCTCAGTTCCTTCCCTCAGTTCCCTCCCTCAGTTCCCTCCCTCAGTTCCCTCCCTCAGTTCCTTCCCTCAGTTCCTTCCCTCAGTTCCCTCCCTCAGTTCCCTCCCTCAGTTCCCTCCCTCAGTTCCTTCCCTCAGTTCCTTCCCTCAGTTCCTTCCCTCAGTTCCCTCCCTCAGTTCCCTCCCTCAGTTCCCTCCCTCAGTTCCCTCCCTCAGTTCCTTCCCTCAGTTCCTTCCCTCTGTTCCTTCCCTCGGTTTTTTTCTCGCCCCCCTTTTTATCCCCCATCTGTCTCCTCTGATTCCTCCCTCTCTTTCCTCCCTCTGTCGCCTCTCACTCTGTTTTCCTCCCTCTGTATCCTCCCCCTATATCCTCTATCTCTGTTTTCCTACCTCTGTATCCTCCCTCTTTATCCTCTCTCCCTTCCTTCCTCTGTATCTTCCCTCTGGTACCTCTCCCTCTGGTTTCCTACCTCTGTACCCTCTGTCGTCTCTCTCCGTTTCCTCCCTAAGAATCCTCCTTCTTGCACCTCTCTCTCTGTTTTCCTGCCTTTGTCTCCTTCTGTCGTCCCTCACTGTTTTTCTCCCTCTGTCACCTCTTTCTGTCCCATGAGAGCAGGACACTCATGTTCGGTGGCACATGATGGGCCCTATAGTGTTGATGCCACCTGTGCCATGCTGTGTGCTGTGCCATACTCTGTGCTGTGCCATGCTCTGCTGTGCCATGCGCTGTGCTGCTCCATGCCGTGTGCTGTGCCATGCTTTGTGCTGTGCTGTGCCATGCAGTGTGCTGTGCCATGCTTTGCGCTGTGGAAGGGAGCAAGATGGCAAATTGTCATTCGAGCATATTATATATATGAACATTGCCCTTCCTCTTAAAATAGGCTAGGAGACAAGTGTCGAGAGTGATGATTGAGTAAGGAGAGACAAGGAGATACAAATGTCGACCTAAAGTGTTGTACCCTTTAGAGGGCAACTCACTGTAGCCTATCTAACAATATATAGAATATATAAACATTTGACACACCCCCATAGGCTAAGTGAGGGGCATCAAAACAACCAACGGAAACAAAGGGTCACAAGACCAGTCAAGAACAAGCATAAAAAAAACAAAGCTCAGGGTGGCGCTCAGAGTCACCACACACTCCGAGCACAAGCAAGTGGCCACAAGGCCAGTTCAAGAGTTTACTAGTATATATATAGAAGCACAACAAGTAGAGCAAACAGCAAGTCTACAGCAACCGAAGGCCTACCTCAACAAGCCCCAACTGCACACAGAACCTGTGGTGGTCACCAGGCGCCAAGGCCTTGGTGAAGACGTCGGCAGTGTTGGCCTGTGAGGCCACAAAGTCCAAGCGTGCCTGGCCGCGTCGCTGCAACTCTCGCAGGAGGAAGTACCTCATGTCAATATGCTTCACTCTGCTCTCCAGTCGAGGCTCTCGACACAGGAGGATCATGGCCTTGTTGTCAGCGTACAAGGTCGGTGCAGAGCGAGGCCGCTCAGCAAGGTCGGCGAGCAAGAAGGTCAACCAGCGAAGCTCCTGTGCCGCCATGGCACCAGCGTAGATCTCTGCCTCTGCACTGGAAGTAGCCACAGACGACGACCGTGTAGACCTCCACGACACAGCACCAGCTCCCAGACTGAAGCAGTAACCCTGAGTCGAACGCTGAGTCTCCACGTCGTCAGCGTAGGAAGAGTCGCAGTGACCAGTCAACGCCACTGGCTGAGTCCCTCCAAGCACAAGCCCCATGCCTGATGTAGTCGCCAGGTACTTCGCCACCCTCACAGCAGCTGTCCAATGGACAGGGCGGTGTCTCCCAGTCGCAACAAAGGGAGAAAGATGCTGAGTGGAAAGGCGAGGTCCGGTCGAGTACAAGCCATCAGGTACATGAGGCAGCCCACCAGCTCTGCGTAGGGTCCACTGGACTCAAAGGGCTCGTCAGGAAAGGGGCCCGTGAGTCTGTGGTCAACAGCAAGAGGAGTGGGCTGTGTGGTGGAGAACTGGAAGTCGAACCGCCGAAGGACCTGCTGCACCATGTGTGACTGCGTCAGTGTGATGGTGCGAGCGGCTCTGTCCCTGGTGATCTGCAGGCCAAGGTAGCGCTGCAGCTCACCCAGGTCAGTGCACTTGTGTCTCTTCTGCAGTTCGGACTTCACCTGAGCCAAGGCTGCCCAATCTGCTGTAGCAAACACCAAGTCGTCGACGTAGACAAGGATAAAGAAAGGAGTAGAACCCGCTCGAACAAACAACGACGGGTCGGCGGAGGACGGGCTGAACCCAAGGTCACGAAGCGTGGAGCGAAGCGTGTCGTGCCACTCACGGGGCGACTGGCGGAGACCGTAGACTGGTCGCCTCAGGCTCCACTGGGTCCCAGGTGGGAAGGTGTCAGTGAAGCCAGGAGGACGGCGCAGCCAGATCTCCTCGTGCAGTCGGCCCTGGAGGAACGCAGTGGAGAAGTCGAGGGAGTGCAGCTCGTAGTCTCGCTGCGCTGCTATGTGGAGTAACACCCGAAGAGTAGTCATCTTCGGGGACGGGGCGAAGGTCTGGAAGAAGTCAACTCCCTCACGCTGACTGAAGCCCCTAGCCACGTAGCGCGCCTTGAACACCGGCGGTGCTCCAGGCGGCCGCTTCACCTTGAAGAGCCACATGCCATCGACTACGTTCGCCCTGGGAGGGGGAACTGCGTCGACGTAGGTGCCTGTGGATCTCCAAGACGCCAACTCTGAGTCCATAGCCGCTTTCCACTGAGAGGCCCACGCCCCTGACACTGCCTCGCGGTAAGTGCGAGGAGTCGGTATGTCAAGGGCGTCGGGGTCTCCCTCAGGGGAGAGCAGCATGGCACACACAGAGGGAGAAGCGGCTGCCCAGTACTCCAGCTCAGACTCTCTGTCCTCTAGGACGTCACAGCCAAGGGCAAACCCACCCCCGACGGACAGAGGACGGTAGGGAGGAGCTGGCACCACACGGGTGGCGTAGTCAAGGCGGCTGGCGGCAGCAAACTCAGCGACAGCGGCAGTAAGAGCCGAGGCAGACGACGGAGGGAAACGAGAGTCGGTGACAAGAGTGGCGAGGACACGTGCGGCAACAGGACGAACAACGCGGTAGTAGTCAGAGATAGGAGTGGGGAGGGCTGGTAGGGAGGACGGAGGAGGAGACGGGAGAACGGACACAGGAGAAGGAGAACGACGACGAGACGAACAAAGGAGGGCAGTGTGGAGGTCAGTAACAGGGGACGAGTGACGAGCACGCGGAGGACAACGAGTGATCAGGTCGCGACGGACAGAGGGAGGAGGAGAAGACCAGACCGCCGGACGGTCATCAGGAGGAGGCAACGGAGGAACAAACACAGGAGGAGACTGGGAGCGGACAGGAGGAGAGGAGGAAAGGCCAAGGGCCCGCAGGCCACTCACAGGTGGGAACAACCGCCGCTCCAGGGGAAGCTGCGGTGGCGGCTGCGGCCGCTGCTGCTGCGGCTGCGGCTGCTGCTGCTGCGGCTGCGGCTGCGGCGGCTGCGGCTGCTGCTGCTGCTGCTGCTGCTGCTGCTGCTGCCGCTGCTGCTCCAGAAGGTCCAGCACCCGCAGCTCCTGCCGCTCCCTCTCCAACCGCTCCTGCTCCTCACGCTCACGCCGACGGGCAGCCTGGAGACGCGTGTCGTGGCGGTGGGGAGGCGGAGTGGACTCCGCAGAACCAGGGTCTCCAGCGTCAGTCCCCTCAGACTCAGCACCCCCAGAACCAGCACCGCCAGTGCCAGGACCTCCAAATCCAGCACCCCCAGAACTAGCACCGCCAGTGCCAGCACCCCCAACTCCAGCACCCCCAGAACCAGCACCTCCAGTGCCGGCACCTCCTGCTCCAGCACCCCCAGAGCTAGCGCCACCTGCGCCAGCACCTCCAGCTCCAGCACCCCCAGAGCTAGCGTCACCTGCGCTAGCACCTCCAGCTCCAGTACCCCGCGACCGAGCACCCCCAGACCGAGCACCGCCAGCGGCTGCACCTCCAGCTCCAACACCAACCGAGTCCACAGTAACCTGTCGCGGAAGTGCCGAAGGCTGCTGAGGGGACTGTGAGGAGGACTGCGGGGAGGGAGACGCTACCTGACGCGCGACCGAGGGTAGAGGGGTAGCGTGGGACACACCAGACGGGGCAGGACCAGGGGGGGGCGGGGGTACCGGAGGAGCGGGAGCAGGAGGAGGAGAGGGTGCGAGGAAGAGAGGGGGAGGGGGTACCGGGAGACCTCGACAGGGGTACCGGGTGTAGTAGGACACGGACTCGTCAAACCGGACGTCACGGGAGTCTAGGAACTGGTGGAGGGGAGGGTGGTAAAAGGACCAGTCAGCAGAGTCCACTGGGAAACCAAGGAAGACACAGGGGACGGCGCGTGCCGAGAGCTTGTCCGCGGAGGTGTCGCGAACAAGTTCAAGGCAGCCCCAGACTCGAAAGGCCGACCCAAGACCAGGGGATCCAGTCCAAAGACTGGTCGGTGAAGCCTCGGGCCGCGAGACACGCGGCTGGAGGTTCAGCTGGTGTGCGGCGTAGCGAACCGCGTGGGGCCACAGAAAATGGGGCGCACGGGCATGAATCATGGACGTGCGGGCGATGTCCATGACCAAGCCTATGCGGCGCTCAGCAACCCCATTCTGATGTGGGGACTCTGGCAGCATCCAGGACTGGGTGATGCCCTGTTCGCCGCAGAATCCGCCGAGAATGCCGGAGCGAAACTCGCCCCCACGGTCGGAGTGAAGACAACTGACTCGACGACCACGAGTGCCCTCAGTGGCTAGAAGCCACCTGATCAGCGTAGCAGTCACCTCGGACTTCTTCGCAAGAGGGAACACTGTGGTGTACCTGGAGAAGTCATCGACGACCACCAGAAAGTAACGCTCCCTCCCAGACCCCTGCGTCGGGGCAGGGCCCCAGACGTCCAAGTGGAGAGTCTCGAAGGGAGCGGTGGCCGGACGAAGGGAGGAGGAGTGGGGAGTGGCGCGTAAGCGACCGGCGACGCACGGAGAGCAAGGAGGGGCAAGCGAGAGAGGGAGCGACGGGAAGGTGCGTGGGAGACCTGTGACTAGTCCCTGACTGAGCATGCCACGAAGGCGAGGGATCGACGGGTGGCCAAGACGGTGGTGCCACAGGACGGTGCAGTGGGCGAGAGAGCGACAGGAGCAAGACGCAGCGACTGGACTGGACACAGCGACCGGACTGGACACGACTACCTGGCTAGACACAGCAACTGGACTGGGGACCTGGGTCGGAGGGGACGCAACAACCTGAGGGGAGGACGCGACCGGGGAGCGCTCGGTGTGGAGAACGTAGAGACCGGAGCGGGGCTCCCTGGTGAACGTGGCCAGAACAGCACCTGTGGTAGCGTCAGTACAGACTGCAGTCCGCCCCCCCCCCCACAAAGGTAACGGTGATCCCCCTGTCCTGGAGGTATCCAACACCCACCAAGTTCCGAGTGAACGAGGGGATGTGGAGGCCGCGCAAGACACCAGAGGGGACCACAGGGCACGGGAGGGTGATGGAGCTGCGCGCAACGGCTGGTCCTGAAGAAGGATCAGCCAAAGCTACCGGAACCGGAGCAAGAAGTGGTGTGAGGGTCGTGTGGTCGCGG